CCCTTTTTGTCTTCTTGACTTTACCTTTATTACGGGTACCACTTCAACTTGTTCTCGCAAGTCCCATTTTACTGTGGCTCTCATATACAAGGCTAGTCTCCTTGAACCGCAAGCACGTGGCCCCAGCCTTGCAGCAACTTTCGTCACCACGAGCATAACACAGTCTCGCGGCATGGGGTGCCGATGAAAAAAAATAATCAGCGGCCTCCAAAGCGGTACAGGTTTCATGCTCACACCCGAGGGCCGATGTGTGGTGAACCAATGGTTCAACGGCGCAGTTCGCCGGTATGAACGGAGGCAGGGTAAAGGGGGAGGACGTATACTCCTGTTCATTTTTCTTCAGATCATCAGTTTCTCTTTGGTCTGTTCTCTTAATGACGCTCATTGGTATGCATTTACTAGAGCTACTCGAGAGAAGAGAGGAAGGAAAAGGGCGTAGGAAGAGAGGGGCAGGGGAGGGAGAAGGGGTAGAGGAGGGACGTGGAGAGGGGCAAAGACAGACTTCACAGGATTCTCTCGGTACTCCCCACTGGGGCAGACTACTCTAAGAGAGCACAAAAGGCCAGTCAGTGTTTGGGTTGCAAGAGATTCTGATCTGATTTGAGGATCAACCGGACGGAGCCCGTTCGGGTGTGGACTGTAGAAGCACCCCACCTGTTTCTAGTGGTTGCAGTTTCTGCATCAAGTGGCAGTGTGTACACATGCCACAGGCCACCTACATGCTAGGAACATAGAGGCACCTTGAACACAATTACATAGGCGGATTGGTCTTTCAGCCCTGTGTGGATGTTTCAAGTGCGTAATGGTTCCGCCCGCCCTGCCCACATTGTGCCACACCATAGCACCACATTCGATTCACGCGCCACCACAGCATATCTGCATAGCACTGTACAATACCCAAATGGGCATAACACCACAGCAAAAGCCTCCACTAACCCAACAAGTCATGCTGCAGAGAGAGTGTCGCGATGCATCTCCGTTACCTATCAGCTTCAACAGACAACCGCGTGCTTCTACAGATTGACATTTACCGAATAATTAAACAACGTGCAATCCGCATATCTAAAGCCACAAAGAGAAACTAGAAACTGATTGGGCAAGAGTGACCAGAATATGTAAGCCCACAGAGATGGAACTTCCACATTAACAATCAAGCCCACAGAGATGGAGCTTCCACATCAACAAATCGCCAATGTTTCGAGTGTTATTAGCTTTTTGTTTTCCCCCAACTTTTATGTCAACATTATAAAAGATCTAATACAGGTTTCCAACACAAAATGCAAAATCGGCGACAAAATTGGGTAAACCTCAATCGGCATGTAATCGCTGATTTCAAAAGCACCAGGAAGGCCGGGAATACCTCACAAGATCAGTTGTGGTACCTTTTGAAATGTGAACTCAGAATACTGAAAATTCGACATTTTAACATATCTGAATGATATTTCCTCTTCTTTTTTTTTTTTTTTAGAAAGTCCACGGCCTTGAGATATCATCGTTTAGCTGACCGGCCCAGGTAACTCGTATTTGTTTTATTCTGTTAATCTGATTGCATCTGTCTAAAGTCGAACTTTGGTCTGTATTTCAACAGTCATGGGTGTACCAACTGAGTCAGGCCCGTTGGCCAGTTGGTACACCCAGGTATTTCGTCTTTTAACTTTACTTAAAGGGGGAGATGAGAGACACGCCTTGCACACTCATCAGCCATTTCATAGATTCAACACAACAAAAGCTTGAAAACAAACTGTCACATTTGTTTTTTGCTTTTCCTTTTCTAGAATGCACGTGACCATCCTCGCTCATCAAGAACAGCACCGCATCACCTTGGACTAAGGTAGCTGCATTTCTTTCGCAAAACAGACAAGACAACCATATGGCTGAGCGTGCGCACACACACCCACACACACAGCGGATGGTGGTTGGGGGGGAAGGGGAGATATGGCTGCATTTCATTTGCATACCAGACAAGACGCACATGTGGCCAGACACAGAGAGGGAGAGAGAAATGGGGAGAGAGAGAAAAGGGGAGAGAGAGAGAGAGAGAGAGAGAGAGAGAGAGAGAGAGAGAGAGAGAGAGAGAGAGAGAGAGAGAGAGAGAGAGAGAGAGAGAGA